CAAAGTTCCGCTTTCCGTCGATGACCTGCGGCTGGTCCTGGCGAGCTGCCAGGCTCGCGGTTTCCAAGGGCATCATCACTCTAAGGTTGAACCCATGGGCCCCTAACATGGGCCCTTAGGGGATTCTAGGGTTCCTTAAGGGTATATATAGGGTATATAGTAGGTATATTGGGGTCCCAGGGGTAAGCGCCCATACTAGGGGCCCATGGGTTCTACCTTAGATTAACGCATGCGAAATCTCATCACTACATCTTAGTCCCCTAGCCATAGGCCCCATAGTAGCTCCTTTTGGGGGTTACCTTATTATCGGATTCTATATATATGAACCCCCAAAAGGAACTACTTTAGGGCCTATGGGTAGTCATACTCCACAACTCCTAGCTGCCAACTAAAGCCCCGAGCCTTAGAGAAAAACCAAGCACACATAGAAAAGGAGTCAACTGTCCCAGACCCACACTTCGGGGCTTGAGGGTTCAGGCTTTGCTGGATAGGACGTAGGACCTTTTACAGTGTAGGGGTTGTTTAGGGTTCGGGTCCAAATATGTCCCAACAGCATCCCCTAAACCCTAAACCCTAAACCCAACACCCTGTGACGGAACCTCTCGCTCGGCCGTACCATCGCCACATGTGGAAGAACAGGACGACCTGAGGCATCTTGGGTTGAGGGTTGAGGGTTTAGGGTTTTAGAGCTTTAGGGTTTTAGGGTTTAGGGTTTTAGGGTTGAGGGTTGAGGGTTTTAGGGCTTTAGGGTTTAGGGCTTTAGGGTTGTAGGGTTTAGGAACGCTTGAAATTTAAGGAAGGAGGTCTTCAAGAAGCTCTCTCTCTCTCTCTATATATATATATATATGTATATATGTATCCGAGAATATTCTGTTGGGCATCACGACAGGAGATAGGTTGGGAAGACTTCTACGACCATGATCAGCTGCTGAGGATCCTGGCCGTAAATACACTCACTCCAAGCTCCAAGCCACGCCGACGTCTCCCACGTGCAGCCGGAAGTCTCATAACCTGAACCAGCAGAAACTGGAGTCTTGTTCCATCTGGATGACCATCGCACTCATTGAAGCTGCAGCACTACTGATTTCCTGAGCAAACAATACGCTCTTTCTGATGTTAACGGGTTCAGTGATCAGGATATCGCTTTTGCTCCAGGGTTCAGTCGTTCTGCGGCAGACCTACACGCAAACCCCCAGACGTAGGCCGTGAGTTCAAAACTAACTCACGATGTCAAAGCATTGGTTAGGTCGTAGATAACTTGTAGGGCCTTGTTTCGGATGGAAGCGAAGTTCACAGGGGGTGAAGGGATGTCAACTAACAAATTTAGACAAGGTCGCCTCACGTCGTCTCATTTTTCCTTTCAGATTCGGACTTTCAAGCTCAGGCCTATCGTTTTCAAAGAGCTTAGGACACACCGGAGCCCTACATCGACGAAAACCTATTACAATCAACGCCCTGAACCCTAGGCTGCAATTCCGAAGCTTGCTCCTAAGGTCGTGGCCTGGGGCATGTGGGTACAGTGAGCTATACTTCCTGATCCACTTTCCCAGAGCCTTAAACGATAATCCCAAGCACGCAAAAAAGGAACCCTAAACCCTAAACCCTAAACCCTAAACCCTAAACCCTCAATCCTAAACCCCAAACCCTAAACCCCAAACCCTAAACCCAAATCCCAAACCCCAAATCCTAAATAGGCATCATCGTTCTGCCCCCGTGAGGTATGCTACGACAAGCTCTCGGGGCAGTGGTTGAGGGGTTGGTGCGTGCAACACAACAAAGCCCGAAGCGCCTTGCCTATGAGTTTGAGTATTCTATATATATATATATACCATATGAATACTCATACATACGTATATAGCTAATATAATTTCAATGACTAGCTACACAGGCACCTTTAACTACCTGGCTTGTCGAGCCGTCTTTGAAAGAGCGAGCTGTAGCCAAGGCAATCCCGGACCTACGCCCCTCAGGTGCGAGCAGTATTGCAGCAAAGCGGGTGGAGGAGATGGACCTGGATCTCCGATGCTTGAGGTTTCGGGCTTTGGGCGTTCAGGGTTTAGGGTTTAGGGCTTAGGGCGTTCAGGGTGAAAGTTTCGGGCTTGGGGTTGTAGGGCTCAGGTTTGTGGGTTTTGGGTCCCTTAACATTCAGAAAAGGTCATTGTGCTCTCTGGGCTCCTGTGTGTTGCTGGCCCCCCCAGTCACGCCGCTACATGGGATACAGGCTGTGTCATGCTGGTTCTGCCGGACATGCTCTTCCAGCAACCTATGAGCTAACCCTAAGGCTCCAGCTGCCTAACTAGTAGTTACCAACCCTGCAATATGTGCAGGCCGGTAACCCATTATTTTGTTAACTGGAATCCCCAGGGTATTACAAGAACAGATTGGCGCTGAAGGTAAGGGTCACGGGACTCGCGGCTTGAACTCCGTGGAATGTGTGCGCAGAAGCGGAAGGGAACGCAAAGGATGGCTTTGTAGTGTCGCACTGCAAGGCATGTTGTTCTAACTTCCGGGATGGGCATCTGACCACTTTCACCGCAAAAACTCGAAGATGTATCTGATATTTGGTTCGATGCTTACTCATCGTGTGCAGAGCTGCTGCGGCAGTCGGCCCAATGTAGGGGCCTTGATAATTCGAATAGGGTTTTGGGGTAGTGTATACTATATTCATAAGGACGAACCCCCCAAACTAAGTGAATTAGGTAACTATTAAGGCCCCCATGTCACTTCAGCTGCTTCACAAAGCTTTCTGCTGGGATGCTGCTACGACGTTTCACCTTTCTCGCTCTTTGTGGGAGCGGAGTCCCCGTGCTCGTGCATACGATGCTTCGCTGGTGGCCCATCATCGATCGGCCAGTGTGATGCAAAGGACGTGTCTGCATGGTTGAGTGCGACACACAGCGAGGGGAGCTAGCTGCAGCAGGGATATCTGTTAATTCAATCTCACCTCTCTCGCGTGGAACCGTGAGCGATGTCAGCCCCTTGGACCCTGCCAATGCTTGTCGGCATCAATATCCACAAGCAAACGTACGACCTTAGTGGCTGGATCCCGTGTGGCACATGCCCTGGCTAAGAGACGGGGCGGCTCAGCGAGACACGTCTCATCATGAAGATCTTGCAAGTCAATGCCAGTGCCAACATCCACCAGGACACGGGCAATCTGAGTTTCACCGTAAGAAGCTGCTACGAGAGTCTTCTCTTTCGCGCCTCCTGGCGAGATCATGTCAGCTCCAGCTTGCACAAGATGACTGGCAATCTCAGCGTCACCACTAGAAGCTGCAGCCATGAGAGTTGTCTCTTCCGTACCTCTTTGCCAAATCATGTCAGCACCAGCATCCACGGGGAGACGGGCAATCTCCGTGTGACCACAAGCAGCTGCAGCTGTGAGAGCTGTCTCGTTATTGCGACCCTGCCTGTTCACCCCAGCACCTGCAAGAAGATGCACCACCTCAGTGTGGCCTTCAGACGCTGCAACCGTCAGAGCTGTCTTGTCCTTGCTATTCTGCACACCTGTGGCAGCGCCAGCATCCAGCAGGAGCCGAGCAATCTCAATGGCACCGCTGGATGCTGCAGCTATGAGAGCTGTCTGGTTGTCATCCCCTTGCTTACTCATGTCAGCACCAGCACTCACAAGAAGTCGCACAATTTCAGTGTGGCGGTTTGAGGCTGCGTCCATAAGAGCTGTTGAGTTACGAAGACCACCCTGCAAATTCATGTTGGCACGGGCACCCACCAGGAGACTGGCGATTTCAGTGTTGCCGCTTGAGGCTGCATGCATGAGGGCCGTTCGCTGGCAACGATCCCACAAGTCTGTGTCAACACCAGCATCCAGCAGCAAACGGGCGATCTCGGTCTGGCCGTATGCGGCTGCGGTTATGAGAGCGGTCATGCCCAAACCATCTTGCGAGTTCTTGTCAACATTCTCCAGCAGCAGCCGGACAATCTCAAGGTGGCCGCGAGAAACTGCAGCCATGAGAGCGGGATCGTCTACTCCATCATTCGTCTCGTTTTTCTCAGCACCCAAGTCAAGCAGTAGACGCACAACCCCGGCATGACCACGGCAGGCTGCTCGAGTGAGTGGCGTTCTGCCAGACTCGTTGGAACTCCAATGCGATCTTCTGCGATAGTTCTTGTCAGCACCCGCTTGAAGCAAAAGTCGAGCGGTTTCAACATGGCCTCCATTCGCAGCGTACAGCACCAGCTCTTCGTTGGCTAATCGACAGTCGTTGAGGCCGGCCAACACTACCAGTTGCAGCTCGGCTGGTGCGTGGACGTTGGCATCATCGTCCAAACAGCTGCCATCACGTACAAGCTGCTGCAAGGAGATTGGGAATCCGTGCTTCTCGCGCAAGCGACACTTCAAGTCCCAACCCGAAATGACCATATCGGAGACCGGAGGAAGCTCTTCCCCAGACACCATCCGAATTCGCAGCATGGGATCCGCAGGGGCGAGCTCCCGCTCGGTCACGACAACGCCTGAGTGTCTTGCATGTATTCACATACCTGTATATGCCTAACAGGGATGTGTGTATGTATATATGTGTATATACTTATATACATACATGTACTGGTTCGTATACACACCTACATTATCAGCGTAGGCCCAAAGAAATTACCGTGAACAGAGCTCGTATCTGTGCTCAGGGAGGATGGTTGCTTCTGAGCGGGGTGTTGTGTGAAGTTTAACTCTGTATGAGAGCTGTAAACCCAAATGAGGCGGTTGTTCCCATGTTCAAATGTATCATCGGCTACCTTACCCTTTCATGAAGACTCCGATGTTGAAAATATATTCAATCGGTCATGCAAGGACATAAAGCCACGGGATTCGGGTGAAACTCGTTAAGTACGTTGGGCCCTTGCACACTCAACCACATTCCCTTACAGAACCTGCGAGATCTCCGTTTCATGACTCCATGGAAACCTCGCTTAGAACTCCAATTCCAACCCATTCAAAGCTACGCCCCATACTGATGCAGGGGGCCTTAATCTTTCAATGGACTCGGGTGTTGGGTACGAAAATATAGGTGGGGACTCTGAACTGTGAAAGCTCCCAGAAAGCATAAATGAAACGCCCTGCGTAGACCCTGTAGACTCTGAACCCCTACACCCCTAAACCCAAAACCCAAACCTGCAAACCCTACACCCTAAACCCCAAACCCGGCCCAAACCCCAAACCCCTAAACCCTGAACCCTAAAACCCAAAACCCAAAAACCCCGTTGCCCTAAACGTCAAAACCAAAAACCCTAAACCCCAAACCCTAAACCCCAAACCCCCCTTTAAGGAACCCTCTAGATCCCTTTAAGGATCCCTTAAAAACATCTAAACCCTAAACCCTAAACCCTAAACCCCCACCCTTCCAAGATGGGCCCTGGCAGAGCGAAGCGTCGGAGACTTCACAGGGAGCCTCACGGGTCCTCAGAGAAGAAGCCTAAGGGTTTAGGGGTTTAGGGTTTAGGGTTTAGGGTTTAGGGTTTAGGGTTTAGGGTTGAGGGTTGAGGGGTTTTGGGTTCAGGGTTTAGGGTTTAGGGTTGAGGGGTTTAGGGTTCAGGGTTTAGGGGTTTTGGGTTCAG